GTAGCTCTTTTTGAAAGTGAACATGTGAAAACAACCCAGTCTTACTTTAGATCTCTAACATTTCAGAGAAACAGTATTGTCTTTCTGAAAACTTTGACTCTAGTCGGAGAACAACAAAAGCAGCAACAAGGGCTGCCGTGGAAAAGGAGCTTCCCTGTAGTGTTTGTCTGGACCCGAGCCAGGCAACTTCATAAAGAACGTCTGGCCAAGTCCAGTCCTCTCCTGGTACTATGAGCAGTCTGTACTCCAAGTCTCTGTTTAGGACCCAGGAGCCTGAGAGCCATCTACTTTACAAGTCCCAGAGGTGTGTCAGGGATGTGATGCTTAGAGGACCATGGCCAGCAAACAGTGCATGTGGTTCCAATGATCGTGATAGAACACAATAGATCCTCATTTGCTATGGGATTGTGTGTGGCAGGTGCTCTTGGTTCATACCTAATGGAGGTGGGATACATAATAATTATAAATAAATAAATTATTTACTTGAGAGTAATTTGAAAAAAAAAATAAAGGAAATTAGTCCAGTAGTTTATAACAAATAATTTTTAAAAAAACACCTCTGAAGGAAAGTCAAGTTGTTTTCGTAGTCCCACACTAAGAACTTAGATAAGAAACAGCTTTAGGGATGCAATAGGGCTGTGGCTGGAGGGAATGAGATTTGAATTTGAATTCTGGATAAGCCATCCACCGGCCATGACATCCTGGGCAAGAAGTGGGAGTGAATACTATCTCTCCCTGTAGGTTGCTAGGAGGAGTAAATGAGAGGATATCTGAGAGGGTGCCAAGCACAGTGCTGGACTCCACACATGTTAGCATCTATCAGTGCACTCAGGCGGATGGTCATGGACCTCTGCTGGTTACTTTCATCTGACATCAAAGCTAGACTTGAGAGATTTATGAAAGAGTGAACTCACTTCATAACAGTTAATTTTGCTGTTTAAGGTCAGAACTGAATGCCTTCTTTTATTATAAGTACACATGCTTTTTGGGACACTTGCCTTGCCGCAAAAGATTCTATTTCATTTTAACACTGTGATATTTGAAAGAACAGGGTAGCCTTATGAACTTGTAGTGTTACATGGCTCTTATTCAGAATGCTAAACTTCTAATGGTTTCCGTGGAGGGATCCATTTTTTCTTAATTTGCTTTCATACCATCTATTTTTTTAAAAAGCCTTTGAAAATTTATATTGGGTTAAATAAGGTTTGCCATGTTAAACCCAAACTTAGTATGTCAGCTCCCTTGGGAATAAATGAGAAGTCACTTTTATAAGAGACTGAGTCTCACGGGGTCTCTGTGACTCAGTAGTTTTAGTCTGTCTTGGCATCACATCTTCTGCCCCGCAGCCAGTGGCTGCAGGTGGCTGTCCCCCCATCTCCCCCACATTGTTCTCTGTCACTTCTAAGCCCTTCCCATTCTGCAAGCTTTTGACTGAGGACTCCTCCATTTGCCAACTGGGTTTTGCTGCCCCAGAATGAAAGCTTTCCAGAGGGAAAGCTTTCAGATTAGCAATTATAATATTGCACATCATTGACATAGACTTCTGGAGTAATCCGAAGAGGTCAGAAAGATTCCTGGTTCTGTTTTCTGATGATTCCATTATTCTCGAATGGGCTTCCAAATTCCAAATAACAACCATTATGGTTAGGCCAAAAAGAAAAAGGAGATTAATTTGAAAACATCCTACCTAGTTTAGTGTTCATTTTACTATACCTGCGTTTCCTTTCTAAGTGTGACTGTTGTTTAATTTTTTCATCAAAATCCCTTTAAATGTTTCCCAGAATAAGCACATGTTCTGGAAATTATTATTACATTGATTATAATAAATAAATACTCAGAAATGACAGTAATGAACATATTAAGTTATTTTTAGTGGAAGGTTTCTTGGTCCCCCTTTGGTAAAGAACAACATTTAAAATGTTTGATAGTTAATAAAAAGCATATTTTCCAAAATTATTGAACTCAATTGAATCCAAGAGTTCTTGCATTTGTAAAAGGAGAATGGGCTGTGGCAGTCACTGTGCCCTTAGATTACAGTTGTTTTGAGGGTGCGTCAAAAAGTTTAAAAAAACTCTAGCAAAAACCTCACTTGTTCCATTTCCACTGGACCTGCTATGAGCAATACATTAACTGAATTTTGGCAGGGTCTTTACAAAACCAATTGGTTTGACAAATTGAAGAGTTGAATCCTATCTTGTGGCTTGTCACTAATTTATTTTCTGATAAACAGTTTAAAAAGTTTTTAGACATACTTTAAGAGTGGTTAAAAAGAAAAGAGAGGGGATGGTTTAATTGTCCAAACCATGTATCTTTCACATATTTAAAGTGAGAATACTACTTGGTCTTTTAAATTAATTAGGTAAAGCTTGTAAAATGCATACTTTAAAAATATAACTCAATAAAAAGGACACATATGTACTACTCTTTCTAATATTTTAAGCAATAAAACAAATAAAAAATATATATATAACTCAAAAATGGTTATCCTAAAGCAAATCATTAGGACTTTGTATAGCTCAATATTTTTTGAAAAATTTTAATAAGAATATAAGTTTGAAAATGTTCAGAATAAAATATCTTTGAATTGCTTTCAATAGGAAGTGGTAAGTTGACATTTTCTTAGAATATATTGAAACAGCCTGGGGGAAGCAATACTGAAATATAAGGGAGGGTTATACTCTGGATAGTGACACCTAAGTTACTAAAATGTAAATGCAATTCTACATTTTATTTATGTTTTCATTATATTCATTATAACCCTCCCAACTTAAAAGGCACACTGGGTGAATCCCCAGATGGATGGTGACCCTAGGGCAGTGATGGTGAACCTATGACACACGTGTCAGAGGTGACACACAAACTCATTTTTTTGGTTGATTTTTCTTTGTTAAATGGCATTTAAATATATAAAATAAATATCAAAAATATAATTCTTTGATTTACTATGGTTGCAAATATCAAAAAAATTCTATATGTGACACGGCCCCAGAGTTAAGTTAAGGTTTTTCAAAATGCTGACACGCCGAGCTCAAAACGTTTGCCATCACTGGGCTAGGCCCCTTTCTGCTCCAACTCCCATATGGGAGAAAGAAGAGTAATTATGTGATCTCAGCAGACTTGGAGCCATACCCCTCTCTGGGTTAAAAGGATTCTCTGACACCTGAAAGGCTGTGAGTAGGGAGCTCAGAAACATTTTCAATGACCTGAGGGAGGTACTATCATCGCTGTATTCAGAGTGAAATCCAGGCCCCTCAACCCAGTTGGCTGCTGCTTACTCTCAAAGTCTTCACTACTCTGCCTGCTTCTCACTCACCATTAGCCGTGAAACTCCTTCAGTTCCTAGAACACGTCATGCCCTTGCCCACCTAAATGCCCTTGCATATCCTGGCCTCTCTGCCCAAAATGCCCCTTCCCTCCACCTTTGCTTGACCAACACTTATTCAAGCTTCTAGGCTCTGCTTCTTAACTGTCCCTTACCATCCAATAAACTAAGATCCCTCTTATTCCAATATAAAAGTCCCTGTGCTTTTCCTTCCTAGTACTACCAATTCAAAATTATATGTCAGCTTATTTATGGATTTCTGTTCTTTCCACCAGTGTGCTTCCTACAAACGGAGATCATGTCTGTTCTGTTCACTACTGTACACCCAGAATTTGAAGAAAACTGCATACATTGTAGGTCTCCATAAATATCTGCTCAATGAATGGATGAACATAAGGCAAAAACTATCGTTCAAATCTATGAATTAAAAGATCAAATCACATTTTCAGAGAATTAATTAATAATCAGTGGCTTTTATGAAACTAATTATATGTACTGATCAAAATCCCCAAATTTTCTCGTGTTTATTAAAGTAATTTAGTTTGTTTAACAATATTTCAGGCAGTAAGTTTAAAAAAAGTCTTCAGTTTAAGAAACAAAAAGTTTTGGTCTATAAATCTGTGACAAAAGTAAATTATATTTATTAATCATTTGTAGTTTAGTAATTTAGGAAAATCTGAGGAAATCAAATAATATTTTATTTGATTCTAATTACAAATTATAAAAAGACAATGAATCCTTTGTGATGTTTCTATTTCTAACATAATAAAATGATCTCTAAGAGGGACAACAAAAGGAAAAATAAATGAAGAAATAAATGAGTAAAATGCATTAGTATTAAATTTCTGATTTTAGTATATGAAAACTAAATTATATTAATAATTGAGCTGTAGCTTTCCTTTGCTTTCTCTCATAACTCAAACAATACACAAAAGTTAACTGATCTAAGAACCAATAATAGTTTGCTTTTAAATGATGCCATTCATCTCAGATTCTGAATGAATATTCTTCAAAGGCATCCCTCTGTTTTTATCAATGAGAATTGAAAAGCTGACATGGCTTTTCAGGTTGAATAAATTGCATAAATAGATTCATGGACAATAACAGGTCTCAGCAGGCAAGAAGCCATGATCTCAGCTTCCAGTTCATTGCTCTCTGCATCAGATTCACTCATTAACTTCTTTATTTATTCATGAACATTTACTGAGAGTTTGCAACAGCCCAGGTCCTGGGGGAAGACCTTGGCAATACAATGTTCAGCAAAACCGACAATTGCTGACAACACTTCCATAAGGAAGTGCTGAGTTCATCAATATATATTTTTTTGTTTAGCCACTTGTAAGATAAAATTATATCATTATTGTCAAAAGATTCTATATTAAGTGAACTGGTTCTCTGTAGTTATTCTAGCAACTTAAGCACAAAGTTATCATTTCCTTCATCAAGCATCTTTTCCCCTTTTTGTTTACCATATTCCTCCACTTCTGATTTTATGTAGATAAATGATTTTACATTTGTTTATTAAAGTCTTTGTTTCCTCTTGACTATTTGAAACAGAGAGCTCCCAAGCTGGGTCACAGACTAGCTTATACTAAAGTCCAGTGCTTATGGATTGATGGATTGATGTTTATTTACCCTTTACCAGAAGATAAACCTGAAACAGTCCCATAGTCCTTACCTGCCTCCACGGCGACAGTCCTTTCTGAGGCTGGTGATGGAGGTGGAGAAGGAGGCAGATTAGCTGTCTCTTCAGCTGCTAAAGATCAAACAATGAAAAAATGAGATACGACAATTAATTCTTTTAGGCCAGCAGATGTGTAGGCAGCTCTGCCATCTATAAAAAGGCCTCGCTATGATATTCCAGGAAAGACTCAATAGTAAGTTGCACTTGACTTATTTTTAGCTCCATTACCTGATTCACACATTTTTGAAAACCTAAAAAGAAAGAAGAGCGTTTAATATTTAAAAGTAATCATTTTGTCTTCTCCATAAAAATGGATTATAGATACCTGCTAAAAGACCATCATTAATCCCATTAATTTGTGTCTGCCTGTTTAATTAATAAAATATTTCATCCTGGCCCTAATCTCCTATATATTCAAACACACATGGGCAGGCATTTTAGTTTACATTTGGCTTGATGGACTGAAAAAATATTAGAATTCTTTATTGTTCAACAAGGTAACATTGTTCAACTTCTTGATCAATGTTACCTTGATTATTCACAGTTATTTTAGATAATGTATTTTCTAAATGGCATTTTGTCCACTGAGTCTAATCGCGAAACCCATCATCTGCATGTACTTTCAGAAAAGAAAAATGAAGTGGTCATAGCCAGAGGCAACCTTCAGACAGAAACATGTTCCAGTGGGAGCTGAGTAATCTTCTGTCCTTGGCATTTTACATGAAGAAGGACCAAAGAGAAAGGTTCTGAAAGCTGTAATTCATTTACAGTTAACGCTAAGTTTCCTCAAGACACTTTATGACCATTCTTATGAAGGTAAGTGATTTCAAAAGGACATATTCATCAGTCAAGTCCAGTGGTAAGATCTATCTGAAGATTATGTAAATTTTTATTTCATAAAGCAGTTAGCAGAGGCAACATTGGGATGGCAGGTGGCTCTTCAGCTCCTTGACCCTGTGGACCTTTCCATGGCATACTTTAAGGTTCCAGGTTGAAACCTTTTATTTCAAGCAACAGAGGTGAACCACAGACAAAAAAGGTCAATGTTTTCGATAACTGCTCCCTCTCAGTTTTAGGAGACAAACAATAGATAAAGAACATTTGATTGTAATTAATGAGAATATTTTAAATTATGATTCTGGGAAAGCGGACTTTTTTTTTTTAAATATATTTTATTGATTTTTCACAGAGAGGAAAGGAGAGAGACAGAGAGTTAGAAACATCGATGAGAGAGAAACATCGATCAGCTGCCTCCTGCACACCCCCCACTGGGGATGTGCGCGCAACCCAGGTACATGCCCTTGACCGGAATCGAACCTGGGACCCTTCAGTCCCCAGGCCGACGCTCTATCCACTGAGCCAAACCGGTTCCGGCTGGGAAAGCGGACTTTTGATTGTCTATTTTTAATAGACAATTGAGAAATCACTGATCAGAAAATCAAATATTAAGGATACATTAGACTGTAAGAGGAAAAAAGGTATGTTCTATTTTTAGGCTTTAAAAAACATGCCTTCCTATGGATTACATCTATGTACTTATAAAATAAACCTACCAGTTGAACCTGAGAAGTTTCCTTTCTTGTGTTTCAGCATATCTATTTATCTATCTATCTATCTATCTATCACCTATCTATATTTATGGAGAGTAGGGGCCCATACCAATTTGTATTGTAGGGGCCAATACAAATACATATATTGTAACCATAAAAAGGAAAAGAAAAAAGAGAAAGTAAAAGGAATTGGTAGTATAAGCAAAGAATTCTTACATGGGACACAAAGAATTGAATTCTAACAAAGCTCTGGCCATAGGTTTTATGTAGCTGGTTCAGGGAGACCCAAAGAAGACTACAGTATATGGACAATCATTTACCAAAATCCACAAAAGGGAAACAATTATATCTAATTAAAGCATTAGTGCCATGGTTGGCAAACCGCGGCTTGCGAGCCACATGCGGTTCTTTGGTCCCTTGAGTGTGGCTCTTCCACAAAATACCACGTGCGGGAGCACACGTACAGTGCGATTGAAACTTTGTGGCCCATGCGCATTAGTCGGTATTTTGTGGAAGAGCCAAACTCAAGGGGCCAAAGAGCCGCATGTGGCTCGCGAGCCACGGTTTGCCCAGCCGCAGTTTGCCGACCACTGCATTAGCGCATTTTCCTTATGAATGGGGGCGATGAGATTGGCTTTATTTTTATAATAATTATCTCGTGTGGTCTAGAAATGAAAAATTAAAAATAATTTAGCGGAAAAGGCTAACTATAAGCTTATTACCCTAAAGACCACTCCAATACCGCAATGACCCTGTTGCGAAAGGTGAAAACACCGTACATCCCAGTGCCCCCAACAGAGGTTTCTGATGAATGAAGTATGAGATATGGCCTCTCCCTGAACATGAAGACTTGATCTGTGACCAGGGCACAGCAGACACAGCCCCTGGTCCGAGGTTTTCTCATTTACCTAAAGGCAGGGCTGCAGGGTGATCTTTATGCTGAGCGTCCTTCTCTTGTTCGCCTTTCAGAACTGCTACAGCCTCCGCCGTGACTACTTGAACTATCCTTGCAGACACCTCCTCTGTAATAAAGAGCAAAACATAAAATAAAATAAAATGGTGACATGTCCAAAACAGGTAGCAAAGAGGGGAAGTAAATAATACAGTCAATTAGAATTTCCTTTCCTTTGTCTTCTCCCCCCAAAAGTACAATAAAATGTATTAAATTGCAGAAAAAATACAAATACATATATTGTAACCATAAGAAGGAAAAGAAAAAAGAGAAAGTAAAAGGAATTGGTAGTATAAGCAAAATAAACACAGAATGAAAGAAAAATAAGTAATAGGTATGGCAGTTTATTTTTTAAAAGGTGTTGACATAGACAGAAAAAAATGTAATGTTTTTGTACCTAGGAAAACAAATTTAAAGAGAAGAGAGAATTCATTTTGGATTTAACTTAAAATATGTTCTTTTTAGTTTTGTTACAGTTTTTTAGAAAAGTATCATTATAATAAGTTTCTATGCTGACCTACATAAATACCATGATTTAAAACCTAACAAAGATGCCTCAAAATATGAATTTGTGATTAAACAGGATCCATGCACATAAGACTAATTCAGAAAAACCTGAGAAGATAAAGTTTGAATGAAATACATGGAAATGATATATAAGAGCTACTACTTTTCTACATAGCAGATGTCTTAAAGATCTTTAAAACATCTATAAACATCTGCTATGTAGACATTGTTGGTATATACCAGTACAAGGTTAGATTTTGAAAGTGGACCCTTAGCGTTTTCATCAGGACCAGCTGTGATTCGGTGAGTAGTAGCTCTTATATATCATTTCCATGTATTTCATTAGATCTTTAAGGTCTATGATATATACCTACCTAGTCAGTAGAAAAGTTTCATTAAAAAGGGGGAAGGCTTGGTCAATAAAATGATGAGTCTGTGAGAATCTTATAGCCAGTATTTGAATATTAACTGGTTATTTTTTTATCAATAGTGTCATTCTGGTCATGAGACAGTAATACAAAAACATCTCAGGACATAGCTGTAAAGTCAAGTCGCCTAAGTAAAATGAAAGACAACTTGGGAATAATCTGTTACGTGATCTGCCTAAAAATTGGTCGGAAGAAAAACATTAAAAGCAACTTTTTAAAAACAATTCATCTTATAACATCTAATAAATGTTATTAATTTTAGGCTGATATAAAATAAAGGATTTAAAGATATAACCCAGGGAACAGATGATAACAGGTCATCATTATATAGATAAACATCTGCAGGTTAAAAAGCAGAGTCTGTTTTAAAAACTTCAAAAACCAGGATCAAAGCAGTCTTCAATAGATAAATTGAATTCTCGTAAGAAATAATCGTTTTTCTCGGTATTGGGGAAATATATTGGTGGAAAGATAAACAGGAGCCAAATAGGTATAAGAAACAAACTGAAACACGCTCTCATCCACAGAAACCAACTTGATAATACACACACACAAAATAGCATGCTAATCTACTTACATTTCACCTAAGTAATCTATACTAATAATAGAGGGATATGCAAATTGTCCGGGATGCCGTCACAGTAACAGTAACGACTGAACAGCAGGCTGCCAGGCTGCGTGGGGCGACAAGGCCGGCAGGGAGTTAGTGAGAGATGACCAATGACTGAACAGGAGGCTACATGGGGCAACCAGGCCGGTGTAATAGTATGACAATTTATTCCTTAATTAACTATAGGGCTATTCCAATTATCTACTTCATATTGAGTAAGTTGTGGTAGTTTGAGTTTTTCAAGGAATTGGTGCATCTTGCCAGCAGTAGGGGGCAGTTGGGGGTGACCAGGCCAGCGGGGGGTCAGGAAGTGACAATCTCTCTGACCTTCAGATTCCCCATGCTAAGGGGAATAAAAGTGGCATTCATATTTTAATGTGCTGTGACAATTAAATGATATAATTTATATTAAATGCTTATTTAAATTACATAACACTGTTTTAATCACTCTTGCTGTCTTGCTAACGTCTAAGTCTATGATCATTGTTTGACTGATATGTCGATAAAAACTTAAAAACTTCTGTCATCCATTGAGATGATTCTGTCATTTTTCCCAGTGAGTACTTCCTTGCCTGAATGTTGGGTCACTGCCTCACAGACCATATATCAGGCTCATGCCACTTATTATTTAAACAAAAGTGATAGAGTCAACGTGACTCTATGGTTGTACCATACTATCCAGCATTTCTAACTATTGCAGTGCTCTGGTTTTTCTATGATGCTGATTCATGCTGTGCTCTTCTAATCACAGTATCTTTACTTACATCAGAAATTTTAAGGCAGTCTTAGGCCTGGTTTTGAGCACATATTTTAGTTTAGTTATTTTATTATATTAATTTATAGACATTGTGCGGTTGATTTATAACCAAGCAATGCAGTTGTAACTTTGTCAGTGGCCCTGAAAACTTCAACTTGCTTCAGAGCCATCTGTGACACTGTTGGTGTACACAGAGCTTGGAATTTGAAAGTGGACCCTTTGTGTTTTCATCAGGACCAGCTGTGACTCGGTGAGCAAGCAAGGCTCAGCAATTATACTATGAACAACAAGGAAGGGAGGGAGGGAGGGAAGTAGGGCATAAGCCTGAGAACATATTTTTTGTTGATTTCTTTCAGGTTGTTAAGAGAGAAGTAAGTGGCATTGATAATAAATTCAACCATATACAATATAAAAGCCAGTAAATGTTTCTGCTTTTAAGAACATCAGGCATAATAGTGCTGTGTTAAAAGAAACGACAAGCCTACTGTACACTTGTGAAAGAAGGAAAACAAGACAATTTTAGACAGAATGCTCCTGTCAAGAAAAGGTTTTTCTCAGTAGGGTACAGAATGGTTGCCTAGGAAACCGATGCTAATTGCTGCTGCCAATGGAAACTAGTCAACAAGGAAAGCACTGTGCAGTTCGAAGAGGTCTGCTAAACAAATACCCGACATAAATTCATAAACACAGGGGAAAAAGGTAAGTTCCTGGCTTAATTTGGAGAGTAAATGGTTTCCCTGAAACTATTTCCTGTAATCAACTGGTGATGAAGGAAATTAAAAGAGCACATTGTTGGGTTTTTTGTTTGTTTCCCTGGCACCTTAGCATGAAAGCTAAGCATACCCCTCCCTAGCAGGACTCCAATTGATCTCAAAGGGTCACCCAGGCCAACACTGCAGCTGTCGATCTTTGCCTACCAGCTTTGTCTTCCAAAGATTTTTTTTTTCTAAAGACTTCCTGATTAAAACAAAGAAAATTCTAGTTTATGGGGGGAAATGCATTTGAGGTACAGTTAGTTTATGGGGATAAATGCGTTTAAGATAAGGAATCATGACTGCACAAAGTTCAGTTATGATGGGTACTGAAACTGGACAGATTTTTGTATCGCACCCACTAAAGATAGAACTATGCTTAGTCACTATGATTGGTATAAAGATGAGTAGGACTTGGTGTTCCTGCATTGAAATAATGCTTGAAATGGGGCAAAGTCACTGAAGGACATGTTTTGCTTTTGTTCTTTAAGCTTTTCCTAGTAATGGCCACTTTTGGCTGAATTATTCACAGACCCTCATATGGTTCTCTTCACAAATGCAAACGCAACCCATTGGAGCTAAGATTGGTAGGGGATACGCTTGTACAAGGGTCTGAGTCCAGGACAATTTCCCTCATTCTTTTTGTTTTACCTCAATCTATATGCTCAAATCCACAATTTATTGAGATTGATAATTTAACTTACTCAAATGAAGGGTTTAGAGCTTGAACAAAATCTGCCTAGCATTTAAATTTAGCCCAGGGAGGGAAGTACAATAAATTAATGCTGTCAGTGCAAGGATACCACAAGTTCAGGATACTATATAACGAAGTTAAAAGTAAATAGAAAAGCAAAGTACAGATCAGAAATAGTACCTACTACAAAATTTTGCTTCTAATTTTAAGGGTACAACTGGAAACGGGGAAAAAAACACATTTAAGTAGAAGTACATTTAGTCTCACTTTATATTATCATATTCTAGTTAAAGTTTTTGCTGTTGGTCGTATTTTTCCCAATGTAGTATTGTGCACTCATTTTTGTATCTGGTAAAAAATAATAAAATTGTACTACTCCTTGTAAACTTGGGAGAAACTGGATTGTATTTTGTCTTGAAACATCACGTTGTCTAAGAAGTGTTGAGGACAGGACTGACTCAATGGCACATGCACATTTCAATCTATATCTCTTCTCTGTGTACTGGGCCTCATTGCCACCAAACCCACCTCTAGAAATACTTGCAGATTGCGGGTACCATCTATATCATACTTGAAACTGTCAAAGTACTCACTTTTATCTGAAGACACTGATGCTATAACAGGATGCAAATGATATCTAGAAAGCATAAAACTGTAACTCATTATTGCAGTAGCTCTGGTTGTCCTATGGAGGAGCCCAGCAGAAAGAGAAAGGTGGATCCATTTGGATGGAGAGCAGGGCTGAGGAAAATGTAAGAATGGGATGCTAGCTAGGTAGGTAGGATTACATTGGACCAGGCAACTGGACTGTGCAATAGGATGGAGGGTGGTTTCCTATCCACAGTTAAGGATCTGCCTAGCATTTAAATTTAGGCAAGAGGGGAAGTATATGAAATTAATATAACTTTGCTAAGGAAAGGTCTTAAATAGGCAGATGTTACTATAACCAAAAGCTATAGTATATCTACAAACACAGAGCTTCATTTGGCATAAAAAACACAACTCTATAAAGAGATATATGATTTGAAATCAGATTTCAAAAATTTTCATTTTATTTTCTTAGTAAAATATGTCAATAATATGTCAATTTATTGTACAAGATATGAAAAAAAAAGAAAATTTCAAAATCAGGACTTTTAACTTTTATTTTAAACAAAATTACAATTTCAATATGTCATCAACAGTAGCCCTGATCATGAAGAGGTTGATCAATTCCTGGTTTTAAGACTATGTCTAAAAACAGCTTGGTTTTTCTGATTCATTTTCATTTCCCTTTCCAGTTTATCAATCACACCTTCCCAAGTTTTACAGAAATCCTTCAC